CTTCAGCTATTCGCTGAAACCTGGTAACCACATTTGTTGCCTAGCAACAGTTTTGTGAGAGTATCACAATCTGGGAGTTGCGACAATAAAAGGACACGATGAGTCCGGGCCTACCCTGGAGGAGAGCTTGCCTAAAAACAGGAGAAAGGGGCACACTATAGCAAATCCCCTTCTGGATCACACCCGGTGGCGTGACACCAGCCTGCCATGTATATAAAGCCAACCTGTTCTAAAACCGGCGTTCCTACTACGCCTACAAAGAGATCACTCTCCAGAGGCAACCTCAACACAAAGATATACATATATATATGCCTCAGCAGAGGCTTTGTGTTCAAATCGGGGATACACATCCATTCCCTTGCACTCTGTTAATACTTAAGGCAGATCACTTCAAACAAAGATCTGTCCTCCAGAGATGGCTCCTACAAGAAGACGTTCACGATTGTGCACAAGTACATCTTAGACAAAGAATATGTATTGAGGCAAACACCTGCGAGATACAAAGAACTCACCATGGCCAAATGAAATTACAAAACATACAATGTGCTCATGGATATACTGGTGTAATTATCCTATGTACAAGATAACATATTTAAACTTTGGTACAGTAGAGTCTCATTTATCCAACCTTTGCTCATCCAACGTTCTGTATTATCCAACACTGTCTACTTCCCGCCCGAATCCACAGTTGTTTCAATACATTGCAATGTTTATAAATACAATAATTACTACATAACGTTACCATGTATTGAACTGTTTTTTTCTGTCAATTTGTTGTAAAAATGATGTTTTGGTGCTTAATTTGTATAATCATAACGTAATCTGATGTTTAATTTTCCTTCATCCCTCCTTATTAACCAACATTTTAGCTTATCCAACTTTCTACCGGCCCATTTATGTTGAATAAGTGAGACTCTACTGTATATGCTTCATGCCTGTTAGTGAATCTGAGCTGTTAGGCTCAAAAATAACCCTCAGTTGGGTTTATTCCACCATAAATACAGCAAAGTACTAGAAGTAAACTTCATAACCAGCAGAAAGTTTACATATGATGAGTTGGGATAAACTATTCCTTCAGGTGGCACAGGATTGCAGAGCCAGAACTTTATAAAGTATTTATTGAAGTAAAAGAAATGCATTCTTGATAGAAAAGGTCTTGGAGCTAACTAGCTTACTAAAGGTCATCTTCTAAAGAGGTAAAAGGGGGAAAAGTAAAAAATCCATGCAGTTACAATTTGCCTAAAGAAAGAGGCAAAATGTGTCCTCGCGGAAGGAAGAAAAAGCAGAAGAGACAATGGCCACATTGTCAACCCAGAGTAATAAAACTTAAAAGAGGAAGTTCCCTCAGAATTCCATTACTACATATTCAAAGGGGGGGGGGAGTGGCTAGCAGGAGGAGGAAAGACAAAGCCCCTTTGGTAACAACAACAACAACAACTTTATTTATATTCTGCCCTATCTCCCCGGAGGGACTCAGGGCAAATTCAAACCATAAACGGCAAACATTCAATGCCCGAATACAACAACAATACATCCATAGTAACGAAATTTAACAACCCAACATACAAACACAAATCATGACTTAACTAAAATGAAATAAAAAAACACAGCCTGTTATATCAGACATAAGACAAAGCATCAAACATCAAACAGAAGCAACAATTTCCCAGTTTCTTGAGGGCAAATAGATTGATCATTGCCCAGGATATCTATTGAGCTGGTGGGGTGAACAGGGCATGGATACGGATGGTAGCTATTAATCAGAGGTGTAATTGTTGTATTACCAACTGGTAAACATGCATAGGATGTGGGGGAGGACTCCCTCAACCTAATCCTATATCTAGTCTAGCTACTTGTTGAGGACTGGAGACTTGATGACACAAGAGACTTGTGCAGTCTAGGGATGAAACCCAACAATGCCATATAGACTCTGTAAGTGAAAAGATAACTACCCAAACACTCTCTTTTTAAACAGGTAATCACATGCTCTATGTTTTTCCCCCTTCTTATCAAGCTGAACACAAACAGAAGACTTTCAGTTCACAGATTATTCCAGTCTATACATGAGCACCGTAAGGAGCTACTCGGCTCCAGACAAACTTTTTCTGTGCTTTGTTCCTTTTATTCTTCTCTGACTTAAGTGTCCTCTCTTTAGTCCCCCCAAGAAGTCATTTGTAAATATAGACTTTCATTCATATTCAGTTACTTGTGGTGTCATACATTTCCCTTTTTAGAACAGCCACCTACCCAATGGCACACGGCAAGGAAACATGTAAAAGAAGCCATGGCTAATTGCACTCCCATCTTTTTCTCCTTCACAATATAACCTACACTTTTCCTTGGAGGAGGAGATCGTACTTATACTTGCAAGTGTTTCTGAGACTGTGATCAACTTGTTAAGATTTCTAGTAGCAGCCCTCTTATGCCACCTCACTCCAAAACCAATTCAAGCTTTGAATCCAGAGGGAACTGATGATTCAACGGGCTAAAGCAATTTTAACTCCCTCTCCTCATTGTCTCTTAACCGTAATAATCTTACTGATGGATGAACAATTTCCCTGGTGGTAAAATCACTACAGTGGCTTTTTAGTTTTTACAATTATGATGATCTGTTGCTTGGCTTGACTAGGAATGCTCGAACATCCCAGCCCTCTCATCTTGTCAAGTATAAATGCTGGTCCTTCATAACATCTGGGATGTCACATTGCTCTCAGAGGCAGATATTCTTAGTCACCTATTGAAAATGGGGAATGTACTAAGTCTTTCCAAGATTTCATAGTAAAAAGATTAGTCCCACCATCAAAGGAAAACCCCCCAGGTAAGAATTTTCTATTAAGCAACAATTGTATTAATGAAAGGAGCAGAAGGCAAGCATTTAAGTTTACACAGTGATCCCACAGGCCTATC